AAGTTTAGTCTGTCAGAGAAAAGGTCGATGTGCGATCACAAAAGGAAATCCGTGGCTGCAACATAAAGTCTGCGGTCGCACCCAAAATTGTATGGACCGCAATTGAGTGTCGAGTTAAGGTCACCAAGTAAAGGAGTACAGACCGAACATGAAATAGTGTGTCCGCACTCGTCCCTCCTTCCCTTAAAATACCAAGTAGTATAAATAGAGGAATAGGGGCAACTGTTGCGTTGTTTTCCCTCTTTGAGCACAAACACATTAATCTGTTGAAATTTCTTGGTGAATCTATTTTTACACACACACAACATCTTTGATCAGTCAATAATCACACTCATTCATCTGGTATGTTTCAAATTCTTGTTAATCGTTTTCTTTTAATTTGTAGATTTTTAGTTTTTTTAGGCCATTTGTCAATAAAATTCAATTGTATATCCATGTGGGAGTAAATCTGTAGTGGGTTAACGAATGCATGCTTTATGGGGATTGGTCAACATATTTTCATACCTCTAAGATGTTACCATGTCAAATTGTGCACAAAATTGCAAAACCTAGAATGACCTAACTGAACTGTTCGAAGTTTTTGAATTCTGCGGCCGTATCTGAAATTGTGCGGTCCGTAGAAATTGATTCTAGGGCATCATTAGTGAAAAAGGAGTCTGCGGCCACAAGGTAAAAAGTGCGGACCATAGAATTTCCATTCCGGCTGCAGAACAGACCTTTTACTGTTATTAGAGAGTCTACACTTAGTGACTCAAATATGTGGCCTCAAGTCTAATTGTGCCGACCATAGAAATTATGTTGCAGCTACAGGTCTAATTGTGCGAACCGCAGAAACCATGTTGCAGATGCACATCAGTCAATTTTATGTCATTAGAGAGTTGGCATATTTTTTGGTTTCTAAGATGCGGCCAGAAGTGAAATTGCAGAGCGCACTTCCCTTTTACGGCCGCAAAACAAAATTGTGCAGTCCTCAAGGCCTTATCTGCATTTGCAAGAAAATTGTGTGGACCGCAGATGCTTACCCTTCAAGCATGTTCTCATTTTATTCCCTCAATGTGTCTTCTGGTTTATAGCTTACTTGCATATATCTTGTGTATATCTAAATATTAAACTTAAACTAACAATTGTCCTTGCTTGATACAGACAATGGTTTGATCTAGAGGGCACGGAAACACATCTAAAGGGAGAGGTGAACCTTCTCGGGGCGAGTCAAAAAGGCCTTTCCCCTTTCTAAACAAATGGAAATTAGGAAAAAAGACTACAGTCGGGAGAGGGAGAGGTGAAGAACTCTCTGTGACGAGTTCATATGCCCCGTCTAAAGATGTATCAGAGGGAAACTCAACCTCTATTCAAGAACAACCGGTAGCACAGTCAAGCCCGCTAGGGAAATTTCAACTTAGGGACCAGCCTTCCTCATCTCACAGCACTTTCGAGGGATCAGAAAGTGTTAGTCAGGTTAACGAAGATTCTAGCTGCACCAGGTGCGGAAGCTAGTGAATATCATTCGTCCTTGGTTAACGGAGATTCTAGCACTAGGACTACCACCACCACAGATCATCACTAGGGTTCCTATCCAACAGAGCACATTGAGCTTCGAGGCAAAGGGTTGGAAATCATTTGTCTGCAGTAGACTGGACCCAAATCAAAATGAGACTCACTTGATTCCTCGGGCAGTATTGGTTGCTTCTATTATGGTCGGGTACCCTATCAATGTGGGTGTTGTGATGTAGGCCAATATCCTAGTTATCGCTCGGCAGGATGACTCGTCCTACCCATATCCCAATACCATTATAGAATATCCTTCAAATGCGAGGGTAGAATCAAAGGATTATGATACAAAGGTGCGGCTGAAGAAGCCTTTCTCTTGGTAATCACTGGTGGATGCGAACAACCCTAAGAGAAAAGGTTAGCCTTCTACCACCACAGGCCAGTTTGATGAGCCAGGCCTGGTGGTTGTGTAGGTAGTTGATGTTCCATCTACTTCGGTCGAGCCTTCCTCTAGTGTCGCATCTATGCCTCCACCATCATCTTCAACCCCCACTACAGTCCCTGCCACATCTCACACTTCGGCTTTAAAGTTGTTGCCCATGCCTATTGGCCCATTTTCTGCACTGTGAGTCTCCCGGACATTGGCGAACCTCAACAATTGGATGTAGACAGCCACTACAAAGCTGCCTGACTTATCCAGCACTGTTGCAGTGAAATCTTCTATTCAGGCACCTCAGATGCCCCTTTCTGTTGAAAAGACAATGAAGAAGCTCCTAGAAAACCAGAACACTATCATGGCTACCTTGGTACAACATGGGTCAGTAATCGAAGAGCTGGGAAAGGAAGTAAAGAAGATGAGGAAATCCCAAGCTAGCAAGAAGTCAGTGGACAAGCTCCTAAAAGAAGTAAAGAGAATTACTACAATTGGAGTTCTTTCATTCGACATGTTACTTGACCCGTACCAGTCAGCACTAGATCCTACAACCCCATCTGCACTGATAGCACTAGCTAGATAGTCTGATGAGCTAGACCTTGCTACTGACACTCCTGAGGCAGTGCGTTAGATGTTCACCAATCCAGTCACTCCCAAAGTTGAGGATGATGAGAATATAGAGATGTCTAAGGAGCCATAGGGAGTTTTCTTCACTCTTTCCCCTCTTTTACTCTTATTTTGTTAAGCATTAGTGTCAATGCTTATCTTTATTTAGGGGGGTGGAGTTTATTGATTATATTTGATACATTCTGAGACATTTAGCCAATAATAACTTGATTTTATTCTATTTCTTTCCTTCTTAATTTATATGTATTCTCTCTCTCTCTCTCACTACCAGAAAATGGGCTTATGGCAACAGTTATTTTAGCAGCGGTTCAACAACCGTTGCCATATAACCTATATGGTTACGGTTACAACCGTTATAGTAGCATTTAGGTGATATTAGCACACTTTAACTATAGAGCCGTTGCAATTGTAAAACAACAGTTGCCATAGATGCATCAAGCACAACGGTTATATGAACCATCCCAATAAAACTATCTATGGGAACGTTTTCGTTGTAAAAATTTCTATTGGAACGATTAAATTTTCCCCCCTTATTTTCCCTCGTGAATTTTATTACACCCGCCAAAACAACTCCTATTTATTTTATTTTTTAATAATCTAAATATTAAATAACAAACTTTTTTGGAACTTTCCCCATTAACTACGATACCCCCAATGCTAGCCGATACCCCTAAAGTAAAAACACCGAGTCATCTTTTTCTTCTTCACTGATACTCGCCCCCATCTCTCTCTCTCTCTCTAAAAACCTTCTTCTTTTTTACTGATACACTGCTAAAAACTCCGATACCCCCATATCTCTCTCTCTCCGATGCCCTGAAAAACCCTCAATTCTCCCCATAATCATTTACAAACTAAGGAGAAACAATTCGGAGACCTAAAAATACCAAGGTAATAAGATTTTTTTTGCTCTATTTGCACTTTCTAGCTCTTAATCGAGAAATCTGGCCTTATTCTTTAGTTCAAGCGAAATAAATTTGGTATTACATATCATGTTTTAGATCTATATAAACTCGTTCTATAATACTTTAGTCAGTTTGACATCTGTCTTTACACTTGAGATATACTAGTGTTGATGGCTAAAGTATTTGACTCTTTGTTATCTTGAATAACAATATAGGCATCTTCTCTGTTAAATAACAATATAGGGATGTTTCTTTGTATGCTTTATTTTAGAACATTTATCCTTTTTTCTTCTAGAATTGATGTCCCAGCTTAATGGTTTATTAAATAATTATTTACATATAAATGAAAGTTACTCCCCGCCTCTATGTTTTAGACTAATAATTGATAAAGTCTTATAGAATATTGCCAAGATATTATGTAAATTAGGAGGCAAAGCCTGTTGATTTAGCAATATGACAGTGAGTTCTAGTTTATATCGTACAATTTATGAGCACAACGAAAAATTTAGAATTTTGGATTCTCTATTCAATTGTTCGACTGATTCTTGATTCAATATTTTTGGTATTGGGAGGACAGTGTGATGAAAAATGCAAATTTGAAATTGCTGATTATTTGCACCAGAATTCTGTCTGTTTGCTCCTCTGTTAGCTACATAAAATTTGCAGTTTTGAGTTAAGTTTTGGGTCAGAATATGCACTATTTGAGTGTAAGTTACGCATTATTTTGCAGAATTTCAGTTGTGATCGGTAGTGGTTTAAACTCCTTTGAGTCTAATTAGTTTGTTTTTATATCTAAGGCAAGATTATTTCTTGTTTTCTTTGCTCGAATGCTCTCAAAGTAATCCCTTTCTGATGTCAATTTTTATTTTTTTTGCATGCTACTCCTTGTTGAACTATAGAACCTTTTTTGGTGGTATAGACATTATTAGCTGAGAGAAAGTTTATTTTTGGTAGCCGAGGAGAAATCATTGCTGGTAACTTAGGGAACACTCGTCGCTGGTAAGTTATCTTAATTTAAATTTTTGGTAATTGGATTTGCTGGTAGTGTATTTGTGTATTTCGCTTATTTATCTTGTTATGTATGTTACTCAGAATTAGTTTATAGTGTTATCTTGGGGTTTAACTAATGATTCATTGAGTTAAGTTACAACATGTTGATGTAGTCTAATTTTTTTAGAACTTAATGCATGGGTTGAGTAGGACTCTAAATTAAAGTACTACAAATGACAGAATAGGCAAGCATTATTATTTAATATTGTTCTGTAACTTTTTTGTTGCAAGAATACAAAAAAGTCAACCTATTTCTTAGAGTTACCCAACTAGCTAAATATTTATTATGTCAGCATGCAGAAAATGCATAAAAATATACAAATGCACCATGTTAAAATTTATTACCTATGTTAAAATTAAAAATAAATATCCCACTTCTCTTTAGTTGCTCCTCCTTCTGAGTTTTCACCTTTAAAATCATTGGTCAATATCTTATTATATGTAGGTTTATTTGGTTAATTTTGTTGATTTAAGTTTATCGTATAGGATTTCAATAGATAATGGAGATAAAAGTTGGATGTATTTCCTAAGATGGACGGATGAGTATATCCATGGAGTGACAATTTTCTTGATAAGGCATTTGAACGAGCTTCCCAGGGAAATGAAATATTATGCCCTTGCAAAAAGTGTATTAATCGTTATTGGAAATATAGAAATGTAGTGGAGGATCACTTGGTTGTTAATGGTTTTGTTGATGGTTACACCAAATGGGTTTTCCATGGGGAAGGGTTTTCCTCTAGAAATGCACCTCACCAAATCAATGGTGATGAAGGTTCTAACATGTGTGATGATATTGATGGATTGTTTCATGATACCTTTAGAAATGTAGAAGGTGAGACAGAGCAGGAAGAACAGATGAGAGCGACTCTATCTGAAGATGCTAAGAGATTTTTCAGATTATTAGAAGAAGGCAAACAAGAATTATATCATGGGTGTGAAGCTTTCACTAAATTGAGTTTTACTATTAGGTTGTACGTGTTTAATTCCTTGCATGGATTGAGTAATGTGGCATTTTCAAATATGCTAGAGTTGTTAAAAGAGGCATTTCCCTTTGTTCAGTTGCCAGAATCTTTCAACAAGGCTAGAAACATGATAAAAGATTTGGGTCTTCATTATGAAAAAATACATGCATCCCCTATTGATTGCATGTTATTTTGGAAAGACAATGAAAATGCCGATAATTGCTTTGTTTGTGGGGATTCTCGATGGAATGTTGTTGTTGCTTCCTTGACTAATACAAGCTTTAAAATCCTAGTAAAGGTTTTAAGGTACTTTCCATTAAAGCCTAGGCTTCAGAGAATATTCATGTGTCCTGAAACAACCATTGCAATGAGATGGTATGCTAATGAACGACCCAATGATGGGAATATGAGGCATCCTGCTGATGGAGAAGCTTGGAAGGATTTTGATTCTCTACAGCCTGACTTCTTCAGAGATCCACGTAATGTTAGGTTGGGTCTTTCAAATGATGATTTCAACCCATTTCGAACCATGAGCATTTCTCATAGCACGTGGCCTATCATGTTAATGAAGTATAATTTATCACCATGGATGTGCATGAAGCCAGAATATATCATGTTATCAATGATCATTCCAGGTCCTTCATCTCCAGGAAATGATATTGATGTGTATCTACAACCATTAATTGAAGAATTGAAGGAACAAACATATGATGCTGAGACAAAGCAAACATTCCAAATGTGTGCAGCCTTATTGTGGACAGTTAGTGATTTAACAGCTTTAGCAATGCTTTCAGGCTGGAGCACCAAGGGTAGATTGGCATTGTCACACCTCCTTTTTACACTATACCCCAGAGAGGGAGTACAAAGGAGTTTTTCCAATTAAAGGACAATCGAAATGGGATTATTTCCCTTTAAGATTCAGAGTCGCCACTTGGGAAATTTATGGTGTCCCAAGTCACCGGTTAAATCCCGAATTGAGGAGAGATTGACCCTTTTTTTACAGTCCGCAAACACAGAAATCCGGGTAAGGAATTTTGTTAACCCGGGAGAAGGTGTTAGGCATTCCCGAGTTCCGTGGTTCTAGCACGGTCTCTCAACTATAATAATTGGCCTATTATCTGATTTTTAATACATGTTCAAACCTATGTGCATTTTCAACTTTAACCGCTTTTATTCATTTTTTAGGGAAAATTGCAACGTTATTAAAACACATCTCAAACCACGTCACTTAAATGCACCAGTGGTCTTTGACATATTTTAACATCGTTGAGATTTGGATTTGGGCCACATAAATGTGCACCCGAATTTAGGAAGGTAATATTATTAGATGACGCGCCTAATGCAACCATGCGTTAATAACTTTGTGAGGTCCATGGAATTTGCTAAATGGCACGCCTCGAATTCTAAAAATATTAAAAGGAATAATTAAGCGAAGGCCACACAATTGTCCTTTTGTTCGGCACGACGCTTCTTGATTTATTAAAAGAAAAACAATGATACTTAATTAGACGAGCTTGAGAGGTTTGAACCTATTCTAGACTACATGAAGAGGTTTGGTCAAATGCACCCATTAATTGAGAGCCGATTCGAATAAAACAAACAAAATAAAAATGTGAGATTCATGCATGTACAAGGCCTGCTCGTAAAAGGGCCTTAGACTTGGGCCTGGGCGAGCCCAAGTTTCTTTCGGACGACTCGGCATCGAGTCTAGATAGAGTCTCGTCACCCAATTCGAGTAAAGAAGTTAGACTCCAAATGACTTTTGCAAAATCACGACGAATGAGCATGGTTATTCAAATTAGGCTGTTGTTATGATTCCTAAACAAATTATTCAAGTTCATGCTAACCTGATTTCCAAACTCAGTATTAGTATGTTAATAGCTATTCTCACTTAATCTTATTTTCCTTACCATCATTTCTTAGACAATTCCAAACCAGCAGTTGATTTTCAAAATAAAATATCCAACTAATATTCATATCATACAGTTCAACCTATCAAATAGTAACATGAAATCCTGGGTATACATTAGGCCTCAACATTCAAATGAGCTGCAAGGGCATATAGGATCTAACACTGCTTAATTATAAAATTTAACTAATGATCAATACTTTATCAAGTTCACGTTTCTCAACAGTTCAAGTCCAGCTATAATAGCAGGAATTTCAAAGGCAAACAACATTTAACTACAAGGCCCTATTAATTCTAAACAGATGCAAACTGGCTATGGATTCTCATATCGAACATACAATGCATCAATTAACTCAAAGAAACTGAAAATAAACTAAAGGGTCTGAACATGTAGAAGCTATATTTGGACCTCCAGATTTCATTTTACTTCAATATCAGGCCTCGTGTAAGGTGGGTCTAGAAATATATACCTGAAATATGAAATGAAAGAAACAAGAAGAGGTCAGTAGTCAAACAGCAAAGCAGCAGAGCCCAACAACTAGGAAGAAACTAGCCAAACCAGAAAACCAATTCGACTGAACTATGATCTCAACAACTTCAAACCAAACCTCTACAAGCCCAAGCTCAATTCATTTTAACCAGATTCTTAGCTTTCAGAAGTTTTTCAGAAATTTAAAACCAACAGAATGGCTCAGAGAATTAAAACCAAGCAAACACATCAGTTTCATTCGACTTTCAGCAATTGAAAACTAAAAAAATCAAAGAAGGATTTCAATAGCACAGTCCTTCTATGGATTTCTTCCCTATTTTAGTTGTTCAGATTTTCAGAGTTCAGGATTTTAGGGATTTCTTAACTCTTGGGTCTGACATTAAAGGCAAGAAATGGTGCCTTTATAGGAAAGTTACTAGGGCAGCCTTGCAGATTTGTTTTTACCTTTTTAGTCCCTATTTAAATCTTCTTTTAGCTTAAAAGTCCCTCACTTATTGGCTTGTTACTCAAGTTATATTGTTAAAAGTGTTAAATTCACAGAGAATCCCTCACTAGAAACTTCCAAATCAGTTACACTAAAGATTCCTTATGCCCTATTTCCTAAACTACCCCTGAAAACTTCTGTTTTTACTTCAGAAACCAAATGGATCAGATTGGCCCAACAACCAACCCAAAAACCTGGGTTTGCAAACCCGGACCGACCCCCTCTTTGGGCTTCAACACTCATCAAGCCCAAATTCAAAACTTAACCAAATGGATTCCCTAGTGAAAAATCAGACAAACAAAAAAATCATCTAACTCTGAATTTTTAGTAACATGGAATCTTTTAAATGAAACAAAAATAAATAAAAAAAGAAAATTAACAGTCATTTACCAAAGAAAATAAATTAAAACTTATAAACTAATCGCGAATCCAACCTAATCATTCAACAAAACAAATTAATAACAGAAACATAAATGAGAAGGAAAGGATCAGAAGAAGGCGAGGACCGGGATACAACAAAGATGAAAATAAAAAGAAAGGAATGGAAATACCTAGGATATCAGACGGAAAATGAGCTTAAACAAATTATCCGGCAGTTTTGATTCGGACCGAAACGAGTGTTAATCGGCTTGTTCTTGTGAGAACAATCGTCTAACACTTGTTTCAGGCAAAATCTCTTCAAAGCTTGGAAAGAAAATGCATCCAGACCCTTGCATGATGAGGCAAAGGCGGGAAAGGATTTAGGGTTCCTTTTTAGATCTAAAATTAAAGGGAAATGGTGGGCATTCTGGGGAAATTGACCATGGCTTAGGGTTTGAAGGAGTATAAGGAGTGTGGGGTGAGGATTTGGAGGCGGTTTGTGGTGGGCCACGGGGCTCGAAGTAGTAGGGAAAGGGGGCGGTGGGCTAGGGTTCTTGATGAGAGTTTCAGGAGGGGGGTTTGAACGAGATGAAATGAGGAGGGTAGGGTAGCGTTTGGACATATAAGTATCCTTACCTCCCCAGTTCCGATCCGTCTGATCAGATCAATTCAACGGCTCAGATCAACCCAGCAAAACGACGTCATTTGGGTTTTGAGTGGGACTGACCGGGTTTTGGCTGGTCTGGGCCTGGGTTAAACCGGTATTTTGGGCTAGAAAATCAAATTTTGCCCAAAAATCTGATCTCATTTTTTGTTTTTCTTCTTTTCTTCTTTTTTTTCAATTTTTCTTTTGATATCTTAAAAAATAAGTTGAAATTAAAAATAAAACCTAAATTAATCCCTAATCAAATTATCTATCACGACCCAGATTTCCCACCATCGGGTGTCGTGATGGCGCCTACTATCGGAGCTAGGCATGCCAAATGTTTAAAACGTCTTTCCTGCTTTCTTTCAACAATATAATAAGCGAGACAAAATCTAAGCGGCAGACTTTAAATTTCAAACAACTGAAAACCTAAAGTACGGAAGTTTGAACAAAAATGCTACCCAGAGTTTGGTGTCACTAGCTCACGGACTACTATAGAATGCTACAAACAATGTCTGAAAGGAAAATACATCATGTTTGTCTGATACAAGATAAACAAACGAAAAACATGGAAAGGGACTTCGGCCTGCGAACGCCAGCTAGGGTACCTCGAGAGTCCCTAGACTGAAGATAGCTCCCAAAAAGTCCTACTGCTGCGGTCCAAAAGCTGCTCCCTGATCTGTGCACAAAAATGCACAGAGTGCAGCATCAGCACAACCGGCCCCATGTGCTGGTAAGTGTCTGGACTAACCCCGGTGAAGTAGTGACGAGGCTAGACAGGACCTACCACAATTAACCTATACAGATATATATAACAAGTGCAAAAAAACAATAACAAGATAATACAAAGAAAAGCTGGGAGGGGACATGCTATCGGGGAGTAACAGATAAAAATGAAATATCGAAAATAAATAGAAGAAACTCCGGTTTCCATAAGATATATGTATATTTAGATATATAGTGGACGGCGTGCTACGCGATCCCATAATATCATATATAAGTGGATGGCGTGCCACACGATCCCATAATATCATACATAAGTGGACGGCGTGCCACACTCCCATAATATCATATATAAGTGGACGGCGTCCCACGCGATCCCATAATATCATATACAAGTGGACGACATGCCACACGATCCCAAAATATCATACATAAGTGGACGGCGTGCCACACGATCCCATAATATCATATATAAGTGGACGGCGTGCCACACGATCCCAATTCATCTTTATCACAGTGCACAATATGTCACCGGCAACGGAGGCCAATAACCAAGTGGACGGCGTGCCACACGATCCCATAATACAGTATATAATATCTGACTTCATATAGTAGACCCCTTCAGGGGAGGATAACAAACCAATACCTTTAACCCGACAAGGGTACAACTAACAGCCCAAAATATCCCGACAAGGGAGAGTATATATCAGTCTACACATCCCGACAAGGGAGTACTCACAACACATTCTCCTTTTTAAATCACTTCCTCCTCAACTAACACATTCATGTTCGAGCTAATGCTCCAAAAGTACACCAATCACAATTCTACCTCAATCGTTCACATTATATGAAACTCATCAAGTAAACAAGGAGATTGTGTCACATTATTCGAATTAAAAGCAATTAAGACTCACGGTCATGCTAGACTCCGGTGCATAGATAACCGTCACCATGCCTATACACCGTACTCCACATTAGCAAGTAGCAAATAACATCCTAATCCTATTCCCTCAAGCCAAAGTTAGAACAAACACTTACCTCGAATGCTCAAAACTCAACTCACGATTCTAGAATAGCTTTACCTCTTGATTCTACCACCAATCCGCTCGAATCTAGTCATAAGTTACTTAATCACATTAATAATTACTAAATGAATCATTCCCAATGCATGAAAATAGATTTTACAAAGTTTTTCCCAAAAAGGTCAAAAAAAAGCCCCGGACCCACGTGGTCGAGACTCGAGGTTCGGACCAAAACCCGGTTACCCATTC